GTATGCGTATTGCTGTGCGTGCGTATTGCTGTGTGCGTATTGCTGTGTTTGTATCTCTGTGTGTGTGTATTGCTGTGCGTGCGTATTGCTGTGTGCGTATTGCTGTGTTTGTATCTCTGTGTGTGTGTATTGCTGTGTGTGCGTATTGCTGTATGCGTATTGCTGTGTGTGCATTGCTGGGTGGTTTGGGCTACTCACAGTAATGACGAAGGGAACAGTGCTGATCATCTCCAGTATGAAGGGAACTCTCAGAACTTGCTCCCACACGTTACCCTGGAGGGGGCACATAATTACACACAGGTCAGGGGTCAGGAGTCAGAGGTCAGGGAGTGCCATGCATTGCCATGACTACCACAGCTAATGCAGAGAGAGAGTGGCTAGACTACCGTCCCACAGGCTTAGTCGGAAGGTTCAGACAGGAAGCCCTTTGCAGTACAAAGCGGAGGTGTGAGATGTTAATATAGCCCTTTGATGCCTTCTCTGTACATTAGTGCACTGCAGCTTACTTTCTGATCCCTGTGTGCCGTGGAGCATCACTGCGGGAGGACAGAGGCATTGAAAGGCACCTGGAGGCTGTTCCTCCAGTGTGTGTGGGGCGCACTGTGGGGGAGCCACTCAGTGCAGGATGGAGAAGGTGTGAGGAGATCCGCAGTGGCTGCAGGAGGGGATTCTGCGCGCCATGTTGTTACCCATCTCCTCACGGCTGTCAATGGCTCTGTGAGCTCAGTGAAGAGCTACATCGCGACGTCATGGCCCTCCATGAAGGCAGCCCTCTCCAAGGCATAAGCCTGCATTTATTGGCCTGGCTCATATGAGAATTGCGGCTAGTGGGGTGGGGAATGGTGGGGGAGGGGCAGTTTTTATATATTTTCACTGCTTTTGTGAAAATGTCATTGGAGCCTGAGTTATACCAGCAGGACACCGATTTATCTGGAGTCACACCTGGTCTGTGATTCTAATACCATATATAACATTATATTGTGTAACACTATAAAATTCTGCCATAGATACAGTATCATGTATGAAAAATTTGCCCTCAGTGCATAACACTGAATGATCAACGCTGACAGGGTGTGTGTTTGGCTGTTTACTTGTAATATTTATGGGGATATAAAAACGCGAGAGCTGCCTCGGACAGAAGTCAAAGTCAGTGTCATTTCACTGTGCACCTTCTTTTTCTTCTCACCTTATAACTGAGATACACCAGTAACATGGTCTCTGATAAGCTGATAAATGCCACCAACACCTGAAGGGAAAAAACAGACAAAATCTATAAGAGGTTCCTCGAAAAAGCCGGAGAGAGAGAGAGAAAACACACTTCAGAACCACAAAAGGGATTTCTCAGGCCAGTCATTAGGGAAGCACTTTGCTGGGATCAAAACTTTAATCAAGGACTATGGCACATTTCTCAGTGTTACAAAGAAGAAAGACAACAACAGCATTGCTGCTACTCACATGGAGTGTGTGTGGGTTTGTATTTACCAAATGCCCCCACACTGCGATACCCCCCATAATGTAACATTTTGATACTCCCTCCACTGTAACACTGATACTCCTACACCAAAACTCCCCATACTATCACACTGATACTCCCAACACTATAGCACTATTACTCCCCATACTGTAACATTTTGATACTCCCTCCACTGTAACACTGATACTCCTACACAGTAACTCCCCATACTATCACACTGATACTCCCAACACTATAGCACTATTACTCCCCATACTGTAACATTTTGATACTCCCTCCACTGTAACACTGATACTCCTACACCGTAACTCCCCATACTATCACACTGATACTCCCAACACTATAGCACTATTACTCCCCATACTGTAACATTTTGATACTCCCTCCACTGTAACACTGATACTCCTACACCGTAACT